GCTCGGAGGTTTTGGTGGATTGCTTGCTCCTTGGGGTCGACCGGCTCGGGGAGGCCATGCAGGAGCATTGCCGTAGCAGTGATGTTCTGGCTAGCTCGAGCGAACTGAGGGGGTCATTCTCTCCGTCTAGGATGTTGCGCTGGACCTAACGGGCATGACCCCAGGCACCGCACACCGGGTTACGCGCGCGTGGCGCAGCGTGCTGCGCCGAGCGCGCCAGCGTAGGTGGCTGTTGGCTCTGTCGCCTTTGTCGTAGCTCCTTGCCATGCTCCTATGCACGTGTGAGGGCCTCCGCACGAGGGTCTAGAGGGGTGTGAGTCTATAGAGACTCCGCTACCATCAGTGGTTGTCCCGGAGCGTCCGCCATAGCGCACTCCTGAGACAGAGGGTGGCTAGGTGCCACGACGTCACCGATGCTGGAGCCATCACTTTCAACTTCGTCATCCATGAGGTTGTGAAAAGAGGCGGGAGCATAGCCCGCCATCCCCATGAATTTGGATGTGAGAGGGGACGGCGTCAGCATCCTTCAGAGCCCCCGGCGTGCGCATCCTCGGGGGAGGCGAAAGCCATAGGGGAACCGGTCGCACGGCGGTAGCGGTGGGGACAACGGGGTCCCTCCGGAGAGTCGGCGGAAGGTATTAAACAGCAAGTAAAGAACAACATGTACGTTACTCACCGTGGAGTTTGAGCCTAGCGTGGGCTCAAAGCAAAGCGCAGGTGTCTCGACGTTGAGGTCGTTGAGTGGCCCAGGGCCGACGGAGGGCGCTCCTCCTCTAGTGGGTGTCGAGACAAGTGCCTCCTTACGGAGGCGGAGTACGCCGAGCTAGTCGGCGGTGAAGTCTAGACTTCTTAAGAGGAAGGTCTGGAGCGGCTTGAAGACGGGAGGAACCCACATCCCAACTGGTGGGAGCGTGGGAAACTCTAGTGAGCCAAAGCAAATCGTATCGCTTGAGCCCACCATGCCGAAGATGGTGGAAAGGTGGGCCATCCGATGACTAAAAGCGTGAACGCACGGCGTCTTCCCCACGGACGGCGCCAACTGTCGGTGCAAAAAGTGACCAACAAGTAATTATTTGTAGTTTTATCGTGCGTTGTGATCGGATGTGGCCTAGCACTCAGTGACACAAGATTTATACTGGTTCAGGCAACGTGCCCTATGTCCAGTTTTAGTTGATCGAAGACTTTATTCCTAAGCCTAGGTGCTCGAAGTTTGCTGTGGGGTTACAAACGAGTAGGAATAAGAAGGGGGTGTTAAAGGTCCGGTCGGACTCTGAACCGAAGGGCCAAGAGTGATGGAAGCTCTAACGTGCGCTAAGTATTGGAGCGTATGCTCGATGTAGCTTTAGAGTTCTAGAGCTGTGGAGCTGTTCGAATGCTTAGATTGTCTAGAGCTAGCCAGAGAGAGTCTGAAAGACCATCCCTGTTGGGAGAGAGAGCATCCCCTTTTATAGGTGAAGGGGATGGCCTTACAAGTTAGAGAGAAAAAGAGAGAGTGTACGTGTGCTACCTAGTCTTGTTGCTCACGCCATCAGGTACGAGATGATTGTCGGCGCCCACAATACTGTTCATGCCCAGGCGTGTCTGGCAGGTTTTACCGTGTTTGCCTGGTATGGTAAATGTCGGCGCCTACAATACTGTAAGGCAAATGTTGACGCCCAAAATACTGTTTGGGTTCTGACATGCCTGGAAGGTTGCATAGTACCGGCCTGGCATGGCCTAGTGGCACTGCCATGTAGGTGTGCAGGGTATGGTAGGGTACGGTCCTCGGTATTACGGTTTGACTTGAGCGCCTTACCTTATCTGCTCCACCTAATCCTTGGGTCCTCACCAAGTGGGCGCCCTGGTCGGTCGTTCCCAGTCGGCTCCGACCATGTCGGTCGGGGAAGAATCACAAGCGGAGGTCTGGCGTATCCCCGGTCGGAAAAGGAGGTCGGAGTCGGACTTTGTCTCCTCCTTGGCTAGGCCTTCCGGTCGGAGACCGGATCGTTCTCCCGACCAGTCGTTAGGTAACTGGGCCGAATCAAGAGGCGCGCGTTGTCGCTACGCCGTCTGCTAGGCTGAGTTTTTGCTGGATAGCGGGCCCATTGGGGACCCTGGGTTTATGAACCCGACACAAGGGGAGCGAGCCCCTCTGCCCAGGAGCAGGGGGCGGCCTCGAAACGGCCTCGTCCCGACAAGGCAGAGCAGAGGTCAGGGGTTCGCCCCCCAAACGTATTTGCCACCCGACGGCGTGGAGGTGAGTTATCAGCTCCTCTGTTTTTCCCTATTTTGGTCAGATTTCATCGTGACTTATGTTGTTGGTCCCATGCAATGTCGACAGGCAGCAGAATCCTTTGGCGCTGGCGTCAAAGAAAAACATCGCCCTTCAGGCGAGGCGGCAATCGTCGACTGGCGCCGCGCCCGTTTCGGGTGGGAGCGGCGCCAATATGACTGCGTCTTTGGCCGGACAGGCGCTCCCCATGGTGGCGCCCGAGCCCTCGGTGGGACAGGAAGACACGGGGGCTCAAGGGGCGCCTTCGGAGGTCGCAAAGCAGCCAGCAATGGCGGTGATACCGCTGCCGACGATGGGGCGGATGGGGCTGTCGACCACGCTCGTGGCGTCGACAGGGGCAGGCACGACACAGCCGGTCGGGGCCCGCCGACATAGGTAGAGGTGGCGGTGGCTGTGACAGGCGGGCCATAGCCGGACGCAATCGTGTCGGCGCCTGAGGCACCGGCGCGGCCCAAGCAACGGCGCCTGGCGTGGGTCGGACGAAGGGGGACACGACCGAGGGTCACTGGACATCGTGGTGCTAGGAGAGGGTTCGATGTCCGTACTGTTGACCCCTTCCGTCGCCCGAGGGAGTGACCCGGCGGGGATGTCACGACGAGAAGGGTCGGCGGCGCTTGGAGCCGGCGGGGAGCCGTCCCTGGCCCTGACGTCAGTAGGCAGCGACTCGCCCGCGTGGGGCGAGCCCCTGCTCCGGTGGACGAATCCGCAAGATCCGGCATCGACGCTCTTCACCCTCGACGATGCCATCGAGAGCATGGAGCGGAAGAGCCTCGACGTGGGGATCGCGTTCGTGCTGGAAGCCCTAGACCATGCCAGGGGTGCCTTGCGCGCTGTTGTCGTTCCCTCCGGTAGGGTATTTGCTTGATCCTGCCTCTCGCCCTTTTCTTTCTCTCTATATTTTTTGTATCCTGACCATCGTCTCCCTTCAGTCCCTCATCGCTCGTAGCCGGGGGAAGTCCTGGTTCCTTCGTGAACAGAAGGAAACCTGGGACCACCTCGTCGAGCAGGCACGGCTACATGGGGAGGTGACCGCTCAGCTTGTTGTCGCCCAACAGAGGTGGCTGAGCTGACTCCCCTTGCCGAGGAAGCAGACAGTCTTCGGTCGTGGGTGGCCGAGGCCCGTCGGGATGCTGACGAGGCCGAGAAGGCGTTTGAGGCCCTGTCGGCGAGGTCGCGGAGGGATGACGAGCTGCTCCAGAAGGACGCCGAGACCCGCCAGCGGATCCTCGATCTTCTGGCCAAGGTTGAGAAGGAAAGGGAGCTGAAGCTGGGGGCCGAGGAGAAGCTCACGGCACTGGAGAAGAGGGTGAGCCTAGATGCCGCGGCGGTCGCTCGGCTGCGCAAGGAGTGGGATGAGCTGCTCCAAACCGCGGAGAGGCTCCGCTCGGAACGCGGCGCGGCTCGCGAGGAGCGCAACCAGGCGTTCCGAGAGCATGACCAGGCCTACCTAGAGCGCGACGACGCGCAACAGAAGGTCGGATCCCTCTAGGCCGAGCTTGGAAACGTGATGGCATAGAAGCTGGAGGCCAAAAGCGTTTTTGTCGGGCTGGTCGTGGACCTCGCCGAGGCGAGGAGGAATCTTTAGGCGGAGAGCGACGAGCTCGGTATCCTGAGCGCCGCCCTCGGAGTGGTCTGCGACGACCTTGTGGTGGTGCAGTCGGAGGGGACCAGTTCACTCGCGGCCCGTGCCGTCGAGATCACGGCGCGGGTGCGCTAGATCGAGAGGAACACCCTTCGCGCCGGGGTCAATCAATCCTTCGCGATTGCCCGTTCTCACTATGGGGACAACATCGATCTGGAGACGATGAGCCACGGCTTCGCGCCTGGCTATGAAGTCCACGAGCTGGAGGAGATGAAAGCGGCGGTGGCTCCCTTTTCGCAGGACCTAGCAGACAAGATCGAAGGCATAGTTCTCTCCCGGAGGGGTTAGTTAGTTCAATAGGTCGGTCGGTCATTCTTGTAATCAGCGGACAAGTGCCAACCCTTGTGTATTATTTAAACAAACTTGTTATTTTGTTTCGTTTGACCAAGTCTGTTCTTTTATTTTGGTGCGAATGGATTTGTTTTTCTCCCTTTTTATGTGTGAAAAGTGGTTCATGCGTTCTGACCCTTCCGTTTGTTAAGACCATAGAGCTTGATGTGTAGGAGGGAAACTCTGATCACGCTGGTAAGCAAGAGTGCCATAGCCGCTGGGACGTAGGTTTCTCACAGTCCGACCAGCCTTACTCAGTCGTTCGTTCCCGTAGACCTTGCTATTAGGTTTAACGTGAGAAAGGGTGTCGGACGCGACGACTTGTAACTAGTGTAGTGTTCAGATCATCACGATCACGCAGAGTATCAACGCACAGGCATTTCGTGATACGCGTAATGATGTCCACGACCGCGATTAGGAAACATGCAGACACAGATACAGCTTGGACTCCTCACCTTTAATTTGTTTCTTGATCATATAGAGAGCTACAAAGACAGCTATTCAAAAATATATAATAACAGCAAATCAGCAATACTCCTACAACAAGAACATAATTAAGCACGTTTCAAATAACAAACTGTCCAAGTATGCTTCACTTGAAGGTTTATTTATTTACTGAATGTCGAGATCCCCCGCCAGGAAGGACACATCCAAAAGGCCGTGCATCAGTTCTATATGGATACCTTATACTGTATATGGTTAAATCTTTAATTTAGGTCGTGCGATTATCTATATGTATATAATTACTTGAGTAGTCTAGTGATTTTCTGCCTCGCCACAGTTCTGCGTGGCTGCCACCATCTCGATCAGGTCCATCTCCTCCTTCACATGCACAGTTTCGACATGAGCTGCTGGTCCAGCAGGCTCAGCAGTACACCCGAGGGCGTCGGCGTCGGCATCCCACATCATCATCATCTCCATGTTTATCTCAGGATCCACCTTGATCGCAGCATGGTCGATATGGTTGAAGATGTAGTTCATGTCGATGTCGTCGTCGTCCACGGTGGTGTACACTTGGAAGTCGTCCTCGTTCGTGTCGAACAGACTGTCACACATTTCGACTGAAAACCCGTCACAGATAGGGGCAAGAAGCTCTTCGCAAGACTGAGACGCGCTGCAGTTGTTGTACTCTTGCATGTTGGGAAGAAGAAGAATGCCTTGGGGATCCAGTATGTCGGACGACGAGCTGTGTTCCGGCGCTATTTCATCAGTCTTTGCTGACTTTGCTCCGAGAGTTTCAGGTGAGGACGGTGACAGTGTAGGTTCAGGAAGAGGTGCAGCAGCGCTCTTGTTGCTTGGGCCAACAATACCAAGGCCTTTGATGTAGCTCTGCAGAAGGGTGCCTGATTTGGGCCCCTTGGAGCTAGTACGGCTCCGCCTCCGTGCAAACTGTCTTCTCTTTGTTGCGTTCCAATGGTTCTTTATGGAGTTCTCTGTCCTGCCGGGTAGCCGCTTTGTTATCTCTGCCCATTTGTTGCCCACTTCCTTGTGTGCTTGTATCAGAACCATGTCTTCCTCGTCACTCCAAATGTCTTTCTGCATGCATTTGAGGTTCCATAAATAAAAGGAGGTTAAATGGATGAATGAATTGTATTGTCTAGATATTATCATAATGTCATGAGCTTTTTTATATCGTAAAACACCTCTAAAATTATAGAAACCTGAATGGCCATTTTCACGCCTTAAATTTCTTGTGTTTCCAATATTTTCTTTTTATATAAAGAATTTCCCAATTACTAATGGCGATTGGCTAACCCCATAGATTTCATTTTATTTTTATTTATTTTTTTGGAGAGAGTGAGGGGGTTTCTCATTGTTGTGAGTTGTGATCATCTATCATTCAGTTTTTTGAACTTGTTACACGATGTCAAGCTAAAAAGAATCCCTTTCTTGTTTTACTACTTGACAAAAAAATATAACTAATACTCCCAAATAATAATGTACTTTAATATAAGGTGAATAATTATTTGATTGTGTACAAACCCAAAATACAGTAACACGTGACTTCTCTGTTCTCTCCCTTGTTCCTATCTCTCTGGTTAATCTCTATCCCAGTCTCTCCTCTCAGGCACTCAATGCATCTAATACACAACAAAAAATTACTAAGGCTGACTAGTAACTCCTATAATTTATTACTGCGCCCATAATGCATGTTTGACCTATGACCGTTCTAATATTACTAAATGTCAGAGAACCGGCCAAACAAAATAAAGAAATGTCCAGCACTGGAATACGGTAAAAACTAATCCCTTCGTTTTGAAATATGTGGCATATTAGGATTCAATAAAGTCAGACTTCATAAAGTTTGACCAATAATTATTCAAAATATTTGCATACTTTGTACATAAAATTTGTATGGCTAGATTCACATCCTAAACATCTTTTAAATACAGATCGATTTTGTAGCAATTGATGATATATTGTAAGATGGTCAAAGTACACTTCTAACGACTTCTCCAAATTCTAATGCGCCTTATAAAAAGAAGCACTGGGAGTACTATATAATTGATAAGAATGCATAGTTTGCTACATGTTGAGAAGCAACAGAATAGTATTGGCATTGAACCGAAGGATGTGCTCAGAAACGAAAAACGTTGAACTGATTAAGGAAGAAGTTTACCTTGATGTTTGGCCTCAAATGGTTGTGCCATCTTTCTCTGCACTGCTTTCCCACTCTTCCTGGCAGCAGTTGTGCTATGTAAGACCACTTCCTCAATCCAAATTGTTCCACTAATTTTACCAGCTTCCTGTTAAATTTTCCAAGAATGAGCTCATTGACAGATGAGAGAGAACAAATCATGAATTACAGTAAACAATAGAGAACTTTTACTTTTAGGAGGAATAAGAAAAAAAGTATTGATAGAATTGAACTTTTACCTATCTTCCGCTATAGTCCACTGCCCTTTCACAACATTGACTTTCTTCAAAGAGGTCTTCTTTCTTGGCAGAAACCTGCCATTCATCTCATATGCCTTATATGATCCAAGGCCACCGTTCATGAGATTTGAAACCTCAGTTTTGGGAGTCAGAAGAGGCACTTGAGTTCCAACTCTATAACCGACCGATGAACCATGGTCGAACATGGGCTTCTTGTTTTCTCTTTCTGCAAAGAACTGGTGTCCAAGGTCGTTGAAGGTTGCAGATGTATAGTCCCCAATAACTTCAAACGGATGATGATCAACAGGATGGAGCTCATAGCGTCCATTTTGCTGCATATACGGATCAAATGGCAGGTAACTACAAATTCCAGTGTGGGGCTGAAAGCAACTGAAATCCATGAGGATCTCAGAAGCTATGTAAGATGGAGGGAGAGAGATTGAGTTGCGAGTTTGTTATCTAATTGCATCTCTCAAAAAGGAGAATAGTACAGGATGCCGTACTAGTATTATATAGAGTCCTAGACAAGGCTTGTTCCCTTCAATACAACTACTTAATGAAAACTTAATGTTTTATTACTTATTGCTAGTTACTAACCTTATTTATTATCACTAATTCTTAACGACTTCTTGTATTCCATGGAAAGAGGTAATAAAGTGCCCTTTAATCTCAAACTTGACATACACATCTTAGATCTTAGAGCATCTCCAAGAGTTTGCTATCTCAACTTGGCATCCATATAATTTTGGCAAAACAAGAAAAAATAGCCTCCAACAGTTTGGCAAAACAACTTGGTATCACTAGCAACTTGGCAAATCTTCCCTCCGTGCGCGCAAATATACGCGCACGTATACGGCTTGGCATGGGGGGCTCTTCGTTTCTTAGCGGGGCTCTTCGTTCGCTTAGCGGGGCTCTTCATTTTGTTAACGGGTTTTTTTATTTTACCAAGTCAAAAATACCAAACTCTTGGAGATGGATTGTTTTTTACTTGGCATATAATTTTGGGAGTTGGCAAATCACAAGATTTGCCAAGTAAAATTTGACAAACTCTTGGAGATGCTCTTACTGCTGTAGATATTGCTAGTGTTACAGGATATATCCAATATAGAGTGCATGCCATCTAAATCTAATGACACAATTCTATTCAGATGCTACGGAGAGTGACTGTACAATATAACTGCAGGCTTTGGAGGCATGCACACAAGGATTTTTTTTGTAGAAGCTACAGTGACCAAGTAATATATGGAACCGATTGAGGTGGTAATCAAACCTGGAGCTGTAGACCACGTGCTGAGTGCAGCCGACGACCGTGTAGGTAACGGGATTAGGATTCTCTTGCCTGGTTATGTGTTTACAGAATGAAAAAATACTTAGCCCATGAGCTCTAGAGTTAATCAGTCTCCACATGCACCAAGATCACCTTTCGAAAAAAAAAACATACACCAAGCTGATCACACCAAAATCTCCTACAACTAAAAAGAACGAAGTGTGGACATTTTTTGATGCGACATTTGTTTTGGTTCGTCTGTCTGCCCACGCCTGCAATCCCGCACCCGTCGCTCCCTCGGTCTACCTTCCCCTGCGATCCCCTGGCGCGCGAACGCATCCACGCCGCTCCTCCTCCTCCTCCTCTAAGCCCATCTCCCTCTCCCACTCCCACTCACTCCCCTCCAAGCCCTCGCTGGCCCCACCCCCCCGCAGCATCCGGAGCCTCCCGCCGCGGCCTCACCCCCGTCTCCGCCTCCGCCTCAGCCACGGCGGCCCCAGCCCCGAACCCAGTCCCAGCACCGTCCCCGGCGCCGGCCGCCCCGCCGAAGAAGCATGCGCTGCAGGGCGCGGCCATCAAGCCGCTCCTCGCCTCCCTCGCGATCGGCGTCCTCATCTGGTTTGTCCCGGCACGTGCGACTCGCGGACTCCTCCTCTCATCTCCCACGCGGACGAACCCTAGCCCTCAATCACGGCGAGCTCGCCGGAACCCGCCCAACCCGAGCCCAATTCCGCTCGGGTCCCGGCCGATCCAGCGGCTCCTCACCAGCATGATTCGGGGCAGCGTCCCCCCGTGGATGCTAGCCTGATCGGGTCCCCACAGTCGATGGGTTCGCCCGGGTCCGCCAATGGCAGACGCGGCGAGTACGTGAGGATCTCGGAGGTGGAGGTGGCGTCCAAGGGGGAGGGGGATGCCGCGGCGGCCGCGGTGGCGGAGTGCCCGAGGGTGCTGCGGTGCCGCGCGATCCGATGGTGGGCCAAGGTCGCTGTGCTCGGGATCGTCCTTGCTGGGGCCGGAGCTGTTGCGGTCGTCTTCCTCGGCCCGCTCCTTATCAAGAAGGTGCGTGTTCTCGCCCTGTCCCTCCTCCCTCCCCTCCGCCGTCGCCTCCTTTGAGGGGGATTGCTTGCATCACGGATCGTGCGGAAATTGCTCGTGAACGGGAGATCTTTCCTATCACTTCTAAGTTCTGCTCCTGCTGTGTCCGTCGAATCGTCGGTTGCGATGCAGTTTCGATTTGTGCAGAAATGCTTGGATATTTGTTGATATTTTTGTTTGTTTGTTGTAGAAACATTTTTCCTTTCTTGGTTTGTGTTGTTATATGTTTTTTTGTGGCTAGCTCGTGAGAATAGGTGACATGACTAGTTTTCATTTTGCCAATATTACCAGCAAAAGGATGAGGTTGTCAAGAGTTTTAGGATCTCAATCTGAAGCAGAGCTTAGAATAGAATACCAATAGATTTCGTTGAGATATCAGTTTTAAAGATTACTAGGACCATATAGGATGTCGTTGTTCAAAGAACACATTTAGCATTATTCCCAACTGCAATACAGGAGAAGGAGAAATGCTTTGCCAATTCTTGAAGTTTTGACATCAGTCAATGCCTCTCACTGGTATTTAGTGGCCCAATATGTGGGGTCTGCAGGCATGGTGCTCTGGACCTCCAGTAGTGTATGTGCTTTCACCAAAAGGTGGATAGGTAGGAATAGTCTCACAAACCAACTGGTTCTTGATTTTTTTGTATGTTATAAGATGCGGTACAGATTTCCGGTGAACCTTATTGTGACGGGCATCATGGCTACAATTTTTTTGGTGGCCTTCTTAATTAAACAAACCCACTTTGGTTTGTGAAAATCGTATTCGCAACAAGCAACTTCACATGGAAGTGATAACTGGAACAAGTACAGCTTGTGCTAGCGTTCTGACTCTGGACCCACTTGAGTGGTCTTCCTTGGAAGCAAACTCTGTTGTGAAAGCTATTCCCCAGAGTTGGTAGAAATAGTTTTCCATTTTCTGTCCATGCTCCTGTTATCATAGTTAACTTTAGGAGGAATACTCCACAAGTCTTTTTTGGCAATATGTTTTCGTTGGATGTTGATGTAGTTGGTGATAAATTACACTTTGCTAGCTTATTTTATTGTAGTGTTCAAGGATTTTAGTATATTATGACACAGAATATTAATTGATCTCTTTGGAAGTCAATTTTTTTTGGGTGTCTACATTGGATGAGGGTGTCATGTGAATTTGTAGAATAGACTTGAAATTGTCATAGTGTGCTATGACTCTTGGAAAACAAAAAATCTTGCCCCAATGAGCCATAACATTCTGTTAATTCTAATCATTACCTATGATTGGCCTTTATATCTAAGATATGAACTGATGCTCCATCTGTGCTTGCACTGCAACGTAAATTGACTGGAATGGACTGGTAATGCTATTAGTTGTGATATTTCTAGTTATAAAAAGGATTGATATTGTTTTCAAATTAATGTTTACAGCTCTACCTACAATTACTAACTAAACTTTATTATCCCTTCCAAAGGTTTACAATATTAAGTCAGATCAGACACTTATGTACAATAAAGTCAATAGCACGGGCAAGGAGCAGCTGTAATTAGAGGTCATGTGCCTGTGGACACTACTTGTTTGCGTCACTTCAAAGTAAATTATATGAGAGAGTTCTCCTAGGAAGTTGATGATCATTCGTGTTATGCTGACATCTTCATTTCAGCTGATCAGAGAGCTTACGATTCTATTCTGTTGAATTGAGTGAATAAGCTGGCTGCATCATCTATTTATCGGCACCAATTTAGTGTGACCACCTTATAGTCCACTTGAATAGACGTGTTGGCTTTCTTTAATAACTTTTGATGCCCTAGATATCCCTGGATTGCGTTCTTAGTTTCTTGCTGACCTTGATTTCCATGTTGTCATTGCAGGTTGTTGCACCTATTCTTTACTGGGAATCAACAACTTTCAGCAGACCAGCTATTGCTCTAATATATTTTGGCGCAATCGCCTTATTCCCAAGTGTTTTGTTACCTTCTTCGCCTTTCATGTGGCTTGCGGGGATGACTTTTGGATATCTTTATGGCTTTTTGATAATCACAGTGGGGATGAGCATAGGCATGTCATTGCCGTATTTTATAGGCTCTACATTCCACTGTAGGATACATGTGCCCCTTGTGTACGTAACTCGCCATGTGTCCCTCGTGTATGTAACTTGCAATGTGCTTGTGTGGCTGCTAGCTGAGTCTCGTCTTACCGAGAACAAGTCAAACTCTTGTGTATATGTTGTTTCGTTGCAACGGGCATAGACCTAGGTTTTTTCGTCTTACCAGTGTTTTTACATAGCCAATTGTACGTAGCGCTATCTATATCCATAGCAAGATCTAATATCAGGATCTTGACAGTGTTACAGCATGTTCGGTTGGCTGGTTCGTATCGTTGCTGGTTCGTTTATGTGAGAGAGAAGTACTGCTAGCTGGTTTATATGAACAGTGTTCATGTGAGAGGGTGGTCAGCCCAGCCAGCCAGCCGCCCCTAGCCGAACGGGCTGTTAATTGTTGAGAAGAACTTGAACAAGGGGAAGAAACTGTTAAATGATAATATTTCCAATGAATATCATCTATAAAGAGGTTCTAGCTCTATAGACAAGATAATATTGTCTGTTAATACTTTTTTCATGATAATCAAAAATACCTTTATTAAATAGTACTGTTATTTATCTTGTGATCTATACATTTTTAATAAAAAAGTTTTGTTTTCACGTAGCAACTTACGGCCACGCTCTCGTAGTCACGTGAACGAGCAAACATGGGAGGGGCTATCCGTTTCCATCGTGGGATGCCCGTGCCCCAGCGTGGCAGAGTGCCAGAGTTGAAGCGGGCCGACGGCGAACGAAAACCCATGTATACTATGGGCCTCAACCCTGCGTAGATCCAGGTCCAAATCTTTGGTCAGGAAATTTCTACGAGATTTTCCTCACTCGTCTTTAAAACTGGATTTTTTTTATCTCCGTAGCTTTTAAAATTATTTATTTTTGCACTTAGACTTTTTGCCTGGCGCTACGTGCTGCGAGGAGTAAATCAGACTTCATTAATACGGAGTAGTTCATGAAGATAAATCAGAAACTAATTGTTGGAAAAAAAGAAAACCAATATTTTTTATATAATATTTTAAATGTTTAAGGCATATATATACCACAAAAGTTTGGAAGAATAATACTGTACAGTACTAGTAGAAGATAAACAACACGAAATTTTTTCTCGGGCTCGACCCAAAAAAATGATTTGTTTTTGGCAAAATGTAGAGAAATTTGGAGAGACTTTTTTTTCCTGGAAAGTTTTGACCCGGGAGACGGCGTCGCGGCGAGACGCTGAAGCGGTCCGGTCGGCTTGAGCGTGACGCGCGACACGCCGAGTGGTTCCAGAAAGGGGCTCTTGCGTTTTTATCCTTATTTTGTATCGAAATTGTGATTTTGCTCCTGTTTTTTTGACTTTATGAATTTACCCCTATGATTTTAAAACGAAGACTAGTTTGCCCCTGCTCCGTTATCCACCCCTAACGGTGTTAAACTTTATACAAAAGTACATGAATGCCCATGTGCTTTTGCTCTTGTTTGTTATGCCTAATTGTGATTTTACCCTGATTTGAATTAGACTTTTTTATTGTATGCCTAATTGCAATTATTTGAACTTAGATTTAATATTGATAAATATTCAAAATTTTGGTAGCACATTTGCTATATTTTGCTAGCATCGTGACAACAATATGAAGCACATATAAAACACATAAGAAAAATCATGGAGAACCAAAGCATTTCAAAGTCTACCATATAGCATGTCAACATGTCCACAAAAGTTGTGAAAAAACATGTCCACAAAAGCTACTGGTCTACACCATGTCACATGTCCACAAAAGCAACTGCACCATGTTAACATATCCACAAAAGAAACAAGTCTGCACCATATAAACATGTGCACAAAAGCTACATCCATCTCATTCAAGGACCACCTAGAGACCTAACAAACTAGCTAGCCTTCCTCCTGTTCGCCCTCCTCTTCCCCTCCCTCCGAAAAGCATTGAACAGGTTGGTTAGCAATGAATACATCAACAAATAAGTGCATGGATCATGATAGTATGTAATTACATTACTATAGAGAATAGCAAACTATGATAGGTTGGCAGGCAGAACTAACAATTGCAAATATCAAAAGGTCTGTGTCATTTTCATTTGAACCTTAGATCCATTTATCCCATGGCCAATTTGCTATGAATGGCACAGGATGAGAACAGGACATCCGAGGAGCGAGAGAAGATGGGCCACGCATTCACAGTTCATTACTTCACTTATGAGAAAGGAATCCAGAAGTACTTAATCTAGGGTCTGACTGACCGCATCTTGATCCATGCTGCTTCAGTTGTATACCAGCGACCACCAGACTTTACAGAGCGAAGGTGAAAGGTCCTAATGGCTAGAGGGGGGTGAATAGCCTAATAAAAATTTCTACAACAACACTTAGCAAACCGGTTAGACAATTATAAGGCGAAGCAAGTGTTGCGCTAGCCTACTAAAAATGTAAGCCACCTACCACAATTCTAGTTTTTATAGTTTCTATCCACACAATAACTATGTCACTACACTAAGTTAGTGTGCTCTCAAAGGCTAACTAAAGAGCCACACTAACCAAACTAACAAGCTCTCACAACTAGCTACACTAAAGAGTTTGACAACTAGTTTGTGGTAATGTAAAGAAACTGAGCAATTTGTTTATACCGCCGTGTCGAGGAGTGAACCAATCAATCACAAGAATCAATATCAATGAAGACCAATCACCTCGGAATCAAATGATGAACACAATGATTTTTTACCGAGGTTCACTTGCTTGCCGGCAAGCTACTCCTCATTGTGGCGATTCACTCACTTGGAGGTTCACGCGCTAATTGGCATCACACGCCAAACCCTCAATAGGGTGCCGCACAACCAACACAAGATGAGGATCACACAAGCCACGAGCAATCCACTAGAGTACCTTTTGGCTCTCCGCTGGGGAAAGGTCAAGAACCCCTCATAATCACCGCGATCGGAGCCGGAGACAATCACCAACCTCCGCTCGATGATCCTCGCTGCTCTAAGCCGTCTAGGTGGCGGGAACCACCAAGAGTAACAAGAAAATCCCGCAGCGAAACACGAACACCAAGTGCCTCTAGATGCAAACACTCAAGCGATGCACTTGGATTCTCTTTCAATCTCACAAAGATGATGAATCTATGATGGAGATGAGTGGGAGGGCTTTGGCTAAGCTCACAAAATTGCTATGTCAATGCAAATGGCCAAGAGACTGAGCTTTAGCCGGCCATGGGGCTTAAATAGAAGTTCCCACGAAATAGAGTCGTTGTACCCCTTCACTGGGCACAATGCGGGGTGACCGAACGCTCCGGTCATATCGACCGGACGCTGGACCTCAGCGTCCGATCACGCGATACATGCCACGTGTCCCCTTTCTTCAAATATTGAGCGCCTGATCCCAACGGTCAAGTGACGACCGGACGTAGCAACTCAAAGTGACCGGACGCTGAACCCCAGCGTCCGGTCGTTTCCAGTAAGCATCCAAAGACGACTTTTCATGACTCGATCGGACTCACCCAGCGTCCGGTCACACGGTGACTCTTCTGTGCGCTGCCACATCAGCGGGACCGGACGCAACCCTCCAGCGTCCAGTCACTAAGTGACCCAGCGTCCGATCAGAGACCGACGCCAGCGTCTTCGCTGCTTCAACCGACTGGACGTGCCGGTCCAACCGAGGCCAGCGTCCGGTCACTTACAGTGACCTCCGTCTTTTCTATCTAGGGCGCCCGGTGGCATCGTTGGACTGTCCGCACTCTATGGGTGGACACTCCGCCGGTGAAGTTTCCTACCCTTGCTCAAATGTGCCAACCACCAAGTGTATCACATTGTGCACATGTGTTAGCATATTTTCACAAAACATTTTCAAGGGTGTTAGCACTCCACTAGATCCTAAATGCATATGCAATGAGTTAGAGCATCTAGTGGCACTTTGATAACCGCATTTCGATATGACTTTCACTCCTCTTAATAGTACGGCTATCGATCATAAATGTGATCATACTCACTAAGTGTCTCGATCACCAAAACAAAATAGCTCCTACCATTTATACCTTTGCCTTGAGCCTTTTGTTTTTCTCTTTCTTCTTTTCAAGTCTAAGCACTTAATCATCACCTTGGCATCACCATCATCATGTCATGATCTTCATTTGCTTCACCACTTGGAATGTGCTACCTATCTTATGATCACTTGATAAACTAGGTTAGCACTTAGGGTTTTATCAATTCACCAAAATCAAACTAGAGCTTTCAGAAGGGCACATTTCAAATTGCTAAAGTTTACAAAGGACTGCTCTTCAATGCTAGCAGGACCTACTAAACACTAGTGCTTACGCTGCTATCTCAACTATACGCTATTTGGAGTACAGATCTACAGGATATTACACCAGCAGAGTTTATAGAATCAAAGAGGAGTCCAAATCACTTGATGTCATGTTAATTTAGATTCTTTCTACAATCTTCTACTTACACAATAGTAGCAACTGCACCATGACTTACATTGGCTCACTGCTGCCCTCTCCTGATTCTCTTCCTCTTCCCCTTCCCCTTCCCCTTCCCCTTCCCCTTCCTCTTCCTCTTCCCCTTCCCCTTCCCCTCCTAGTAGCACTTGCACTAAAAAGAGAGGAAACATGATTTCAATATTATCAGATTATGCCACGAGTAGAAGTGAGCACCAATAGAACCATGACTTACATTGGGTCATTGTTGTCCTCTTGTGATCCATGTTGTGAAGAATTGAGCCTTCTCTTTTGACTAGCAGTGAGACCTCCTTGGCAAGTCTTGGCTAAATGCCCTAGTTCATGGCACTCAGAACACAATCTTCTTTTCTTGCTACTGTTGACCTCATCATATGCCTTGAACCTAGACTTTTTAGGTCTCCTAGGTTTCCTTCTCAATTTAGGCTTATGGATTTTGTAGCCTAAGTCAACACATGGCCAAAGATCTTTGGATGTCATTGGAATGAAAGTACCTACATATGCCTTTCTCAACCTTTCAATAGAGAAGTATTCATGGACAAAGCCATCTATTTGAACCTCTCTACTAAGCTTTACAATGAAATCTAGAGCATGACTGCAAGGCTTTCCAGTCACTTGCCAAGCCCTACAAGTACATGTCTTTAATTCCAAGTTAATTGCATGCCTAAATCTGTTGACTGTCACTTCTACTTTTCCAGGCCCACAAATTAAGACATCATGGTCCTTAATGGCCTTCGATTTAGCATTCAGATCTTTGATGATATCTGGGATTATTTTTCCAGACATCTTTCTAGCATTCTTTGATCTCAAGACAAATTTCTCAATGATCATTTGTCTTATCTTGTCATGTATTTCCACAATTTGATGTTCCTTTGTTTTTGACACCCAACTATTGAAACTCTTAGAAAGGTTATTGTTGATGTAATCTACCTTGCAATCTTCTGAGAATTTGCTTCTACTCCATATGTATGGATGGTTCTCATCCAACCATTCAAGTGCATTGGGATCCTTCTCTTCTATATTCCTCATGAAGAAGTTGAACTTGTCAGTTGTGAAGCTCTTGGCAGCTGCCCACATATTCTTCCCATAAAGAGTGCCACTGTAACTTTTCTTCATGTTCTTTCACAAATGCCTCATACACTCTCTATGCTCAATTCCTAGATATACATCTTCAACAGCAACTTCAATTCCCTTGCCTGCATCTGTACTGATGACCAAACCTGTGTGACATAATTGACATATGTTAGGTAATAACAATTTAAACTTAAAGGAAAATAGGCAAATAGCAGTCATATGTACACACCTAGAGGAGTACCAATTGCTTTTTTTAAGTTTTGGACGAACCAAGTCCAACTTTCCTTAGACTCGGTCTCAATCACCCCATATGCCACTGGGAATAACTGATTGTGACCATCTACTGCAACAGCTGCTGCTAACTGACCTCTTGACCTGCCTGTCAAGTGAGTTGCATCCATGGCAATGTATGGTCTGCATCCTTGTAAAAACCCATCAATGCATGGCTTTAGAGCAACAAAGAATCTTATGAAACATACATGGCCATTGTGCACCTCAGTCTCCATTTCAACCACACTGCCAGGCACTGACCTCAGAAGCTCAGCTTGATAAGTAGGAATCAAGCCATAACAATCTTCTCACTTCCCATATATGATATCAAGTGCTCTCATCTTTCCTCTATAGACTCTATCATATGGAACATCCACTGAGTACTTCTTCTTTAACTCATCTTGTAATTCCTTTGGACCCATTTTAGGGTCATCCCGTAGTAAGTCCATAACTCTATCACAAACCCATCTATTTGAGGCCATGGACTGACCACACTTGTTGAAAGAACCACAAGTGTGCTTTGGTCCACTTGTCTTCACCTACAACATAATAATGACAATCCAACATTTTGTTAGCAAATTACATTTCAAGTCAATACACTATATTATGGAAAGGGGACCAAATTACCTTGCATCCAACGTACTTCTTGCTTGTAGACGCAAAAAAATCCACTTACAACCCTTATCAGCTCTCTTGCATATGGCTCTGAATCTTTCTTGATCCTTTTTTACAATCTTAAAAGCATGGTCATACAAGATAGCGTGATGTGTAACTGCAGACTTGCACTGATCAACATTTGGAAACACCATATTTACATCAATGCATGGATCATCAGGATCATATGAAAACATGAGAGCATCATACTCATCTACATCATCAAGTATTTCACCATCAGGATCAAACTCTGGATCAGAGCAATCATCATCAGAGTCAGAAGATGCACCTAAATCAGTGTCATAGCTGTTGTCAGAGAATATGCCTTTATCATCATCTCCAACCTCCTCATCTCCTACCCCCTCATCATCATCTCCTCCCCTCTCATCATCATCATTTGTTGCTCCCTCATTTGTGGGGGCTCCCTCATTTGTGCTCCCCTCAATTAGGTGTATTCTACTCCTCACATTAAGATGACACCTACGTTTGGTTGGTAAAAACTGCAGTGGCCCTTCAAAATCATTTATCTGGACATTGATGCAAGCTACCCCCTTGTCTACATTGAGTACAAACCACTCTAAAAGATGTTCATCAGTTTTCATCTCAAATGAATCATTTTCCAAATCACGCCATAAGATTATGTATTGCTTAGACCCCCACATGCAATGCTCAGCTACGAAATCAACCAACTGCAGCAGCCCAAAGCTATGTATGTCATCAACAACTTTAGTTGGCAAAGTTTTACCCTGCTGCCATGACTTAGGAGCATTGTCTGGCAAGCTAAAAAAGATCGAATTCTAACTACAAGTCGTATACCCCTGTGATTTGGCCTACAAACCACATAAGTAATATGCGGTTAGTTTATCCAACTCAAACCATTAACAATGCACTCACTTTGGTAAAAAAACCCAATAGTAGATAATGGTTAGGGTTTGCTGAAACCACCTTTGCTCTTCCATGTTGGTCAATTTGACAGATCCCGTGCGTTAAGCTGTCGTCGGCGCCATCCACGTAGCAGAACTGAGCCACGCGGCTATCTCGCACCAAAATGAACACAGTCAATATCTAATACTAACAAAAGTATAGAGCCAAACTACTGACCTTTCAAGTGACAAATGTAATAGTTATGCCTATACTACTCTAGAATTATTGGTTATACTAAAGCAAACTTTCTATGCCCAAATTTACAGGGTTCTATAGAGAAGACATCAATACATAGGTAGTTGGTTCCACGTATAGCGTCACCGGAATCATTGAGGTTGTTGACAACACTACACTGAGGATCACAGAACTGCCAATCCGCCGTTGGACGGGGGATTACAAAGATTTTCTTGACAGTTTATGTCCAGATAAGCACAACAAGGACAAAGTATCATTCTTAGAGGTAGTTGACAACAGAAAACACATTCGCTTGTGTTCATAATGTTTGCACCATCAAATATCATAAACACTTTTCTTCAATTGCAACTATTTTATAGGATTTCACAGCGCAAGGTGATAATGAAGACATTTATATTGAGCTCCAATTAAGTGAGGGAAATATGAATATAGCTAAGGAAGAAAGACTAGTGAAGAAGTTTAAGCTGACAACAACAATTGGAACATCAAACATGCACTTGTTTGATCTCCGCCGGTAATGCTCGCACCTGCGGCAACGAGCAAATCTCTGACGTGAGCAGATTATTAAGCATATCAGACCTAGGCCACCTTGGATTGGAAAACCAAAGGACGAGAACGCAATCGAGCAAAATCAGGCAGCCACATGAAACCAGACACTCGGAGCAGAGTAGATCAACCAGCCACGTAGCGCAGAGCGAGCGATTCAGCACCGGAAGGATATGAATCGAGATTCCGTCGGAAGCAAGGGGAGCACGAATAAGGAAGGATTCAATTCAAGGCGGGCGCGGTTGCTCACCCGTTGGGAGCCGCAGACGGGCGCCGCGGAGACCCGGACCAAGCACCGCCGGGAGCCACGTCCAGGTACCGGAGTCGCCCGCTCCGCCCGCCCTGCGCCCCGGCCCGCTCCACGCCCACGTCGCCCCGATGCCACACCTGCTCCGCCCGCCCTAATGCCGACGCTGCTTCGAACCGCCGCACCCATGCCGCACGCTCCGCCGCCTAGAAACGCGCCGCTCGCTCCCTCCCTCTCCGATGCGGTCGGTGTCTTGTGGAGTCAAGAAACAGCCAGAAAAGGGATAAGGGGCAGTGTGGGTATTTAGACTTTTGTTTTCAGATTTATAATTTTTTTAATTCATCTATTTAATGGACATCTGACGGACATCTAAAGCAGGGACAGACGAACAGTTCTATTCAAAATAACAAGAACAAAAACATAAAGTTAAAAAAATAAGAGCAAAACCATAATTGAACGACTGGACAGGGCGTGAACGCAATTCTCCCTTCCAGAAACCAAGCCCAGTAACCGCTACGCGTCGTCACTCTCGCGGTCTCGCCTCGTCCCCACCGCCCACCCAAAGCCCCCAAAGCGCACGGCGCACTGTCGCTGTCGCGGCCGAGGAAATCGAAGCTGCGAGCAACGCGATCGAGCGCGACGCGGGTGAGAGCCGTGAGGGAGGGCCTCTGCCTCTACGGCTGGCGGCATGGAGAGCGCCGTGCTCACCTGCGAGGCGCCAACCGCCGGCGCCGCCGCGGCGCCTGGAGCGGGAGGGGACGGAGGAGCCGGGGACGTGGTGATGCTGAGGCGGTCGGCCCTCGCGGCGTGCCTCACGTGCCCGCTCTGCGGCCGCCTCTTCCGCGACGCCGCCACCATCACTAAGTGCCTCCACACCTGTGAGTAACTCGCCGCTCCGCCAACCTTTCAGTAACTGGCGTGCATAGGTCTGCTCGGGTCCTGTAGCTCGCTCAAAACCTTTTTTTTTCTCGGCTGCTGCGTCGTGGAACGTGGAAGGTGGTCACGGCTATCATTCCGCGCTTCGGATTTGAAATTTTGCAGTGATCTGTCTGGTTTTTGAGGTGATGCGCGAAAGGTGGCATCTTCAGGCTTCAGTCGCCCAAGCGACAAGCGTTGAGAATTTCTGAAAAATTACGAGGGTAAAGGTGTGCACTTTTAGTGTGTGAAATTCACATCATCTGTAATTCTGTATGTTTGTTAGGAGTGGGTACGCTCTAACTTTCCGGGAATGGAAGGCTTGGTTCACTTTTGCACTGTTTTTTTTTTTTGGAGGAATTTGAGGTGATCAGCGCTGTTGATTGCATGAGTGGTGGTTGCTGCGTGTGCACGCCATGATCCATGAGAAAATCACATGGACCCTGTTTTTACTGGGAGTGTGTTATGGCCTTATGTTATTTATTTGTTGCGCAAGTGTTCTAAACTTAATGTTCACCTGAAAGTGTTCTAGCCTTGTCGTTTCATGCAAAATGAATTACATAGGTTGTTTACTGGGGGTATCCGGTGATGTGAAGCTTTACGCATAACATGGCAACTGTGGTGTTTCCACGTTATAGGCCGGATGTTTTCTAGATTGGTCTCCTAATGCAGCAAAACACATCACAAACCTTTCGTTGTGCTGGGAATAGATGCATATCACATTGCATGGAAAAGTGTTGCATCATTTGTTTATTTTATAGGTAACGCTTTCTGGAAAAACCATTGACTGTTAGGTTGGCTGTTCATTTCATTTCTGTAGTGGTTGGGGAAAGAAAAAAAGTTAGAAATTGCTAATGTCGAGCACCATTAGTCCACTAGAAAATAGAAACGCTGCTCAATCTGTTTCTTCACAGCTTTGGGTGAGTGTTCCAGTGTGTTTGTAGAGTTGACTTGGAATGTTTGTAAAGACGACTTGCTAATCTCGTTCATGTGTGTGAAATGTATGGTTTTATGCTTCAAGAGTTGCTTATATGGCCAAAAAATGGTGATATTTCATTTTATCCTGTTCTGGTGATTCTGCAACGGACCATCTTGAGAACAAGTACGGAGTATGTTATACTCTTTGGTCAGGAAACAAAGTCCTTGTTTGTGGTGAGGTACTGTAGCACATCATTAGTGGGAGAGCCAGAGAGGGACAAGGACTTCGTTTTTTTATCTATGTAAAGAGTGCTTTTAGCCTTAACTGAGGAAGATATGCTAACTAATTTGAAGTCGCTTCCTCAAGCCACACCAAATTGCCACCTTTCCCTTCAGGTTTCAGCTGTGCTAGCTGTGTAACCAAGTCGGGCTCGCTGCTGGTAGTACCTAACAGTGCTTGGCATAACAAATACAGTATTGTACTACTGTGTTCATTTATTCTTAATTGGATTAGTATCTTCCAACAGTTTTTCTTCGTGGATCGTGATTGCGCCTTTGCCATTAATGTTATAAATACCATCAGTTTGCAGGAAGTGCATATCAGAGGAGTTCATAAATAAGGAAGTATGCTGCTGCCCTATTTGTAGCATTGATTTGGGCTGTGCTCCATTGGAGAAACTCAGGTTCGTTTTTTTCTTGAAATATACTTATATTGTGTGTGGTTGTATAGTATTGCATTATCTTGGGCTGTTTCAATGAACCATTTTGAGTTATGGCATCAGCTTTGATGCATGTCAGTTGTCAGCTAGTGTTAGTGTGCAACATAGCGGAACATACATGGACCAAATCTGTGAAAATGTTCTCCAACATTCTCTCTAGTATCAAAAGTGAGTTAGCCTTTAGCGATCTACTATTTAAATGTGCCATCCTGGCTTTTGACATTCCCCTGCATCAGCACCCTGCCATGTTGGATCATCCTGTTTTCACAATGACACCATTGCATTACCATACCGCTGCATTGGTTGCATCATTTAAATTGCTACTGCTCCATGTAACCTCCTTTTGTACAACCTTGGCTATTGGGTGGTCTTGACATGATTGTAAATATGCTTTATTTGTTTGGTAACTTCTGAAATGCCAAGATTGGCCCAGTAATCTGAACTCTGATAAATTATTCCCTTGCATTGAAGCAACATGCAACAAGAAAGTTTACTTTTCTGAATGTTAGTTTTTTTTGTAATGCACTTGATATATTTTATAGCTATAGCTTATGGCTCATGTCAACTAACTTTTTGTACAGAATTGATCATAGCCTACAGTATGTAAGGTCAAAGGTATTCCCTTTTGAAAAACAAAAGGTTGAGGGCCAAGAAGTAACATTGCCAATTACATCACCTATCAAGACGAAAGAACGGTCTTTATCTTCGTTGACAAAACTGTCAGCGTCCATACCGCTGACCCCTTCCGGCGCCGGAGGGAGTGTCCCGGCGGGGACGTCACGGCGAGGAGGGTCAGCGGCGATCGGAGGCGGCAGGGAGCCGTCCCTGGCCCTGACGTCGGTGGGCAGCGACTCGCCTGCGCGGGGCGAGCCCCTGCTCCGGTGGGTGAGTCCGGAGGATCCGACGTCGACGCTCTTCACTCTCGACGCCGCCGCAGAGAGCATGGAGTGGGAGAGCCTCGACGTGGGGATCGCGTCCGTGCTTGAAGCCCTGGACCACGCCCGAGGTGCCTTGCGCGATGTTGTCATTCCTTCTGACCGGGTATTCGCTTGATCCTGCTTCTCGCCATTTTCTTTCTCTATACATTTTTTGTATTCTGACCATCATCTCCTTTCAGTCCCTTATCGCTCGCAGCCGGGGTAAGTCTCGGTTCCTTCGTGAGCAGAAGAAAACCTGGGACCACCTCGTCGAGGAGGCGCGGCTGCGTGGGGAGGTGACCGCTCAGCTTGCTGCCGCCCAGCAGAGGGTGGCTGAGCTGACTCCCCTTGCTGAGGACGCAGACAGTCTTCGGTCGCGGGTGGTCGAGGCCCGTCGTCATGCTGACGAGGCCGAGAGGGCGTTCGAGGCCCTGTCGGCGAGATCGCGGAGGGACGACGAGGAGGCCGCCAAGGTCAAGAGGGAGCGGGACGAGCTGCTCCAGAAGGACGTCGAGACCCGTCAGCGGATCCTCGACCTTCTGGCTGAGGTTGAGAAGGAACGTGAGCTGAAGCTGGGGGCCGAGGAGAAGCTCGCGGCCCTGGAGAATAGGGCGAGTCTGGATGCCGCGGCGGTCGCCTGGCTGCGCAAGGAGCGGGATGAGCTGCTTCAAACCGCGAAGAGGCTCCGCTCGGAGCGTGGCGCGGCCCGTGAGGAGCGCGACCAGGCCGTCCGAGTGCGCGGCGAGGTGCAGCAGAGGATCGGCTCCCTCCAGGCTGAGCTCGGAACCGCTACAACCCGGAGGCTGGAGGCCGAGGGCGTCTCTGCCGGGCTAGCCACAGAGCTCGTCGAGGTGAGGAGGAACCTTCAGGCGGAGAGCGACGAGCTCTCGGTATCCTGAGCGCTGCCCTCAGAGTGGTTTGCGACGACCTGGAGGTGGTGCGGTCGGAGGGGACCAGTTCGCTCGCGGCCCGTGCCGTCGATATCACGGCGCGGGTGCGCGAGCTCGAGAGGGACACTCTTCGCGCCGGGGTCACCCAAGCCTTTGCGATTGCTCGTTCGCATTACGCGGATAGCATCGACTTGGAGACTATGAGCCTCGGTTTCGCACCAGGCTACGAAGCCTCTGAGCTGGACGAGATAGAGACGGCGGTGACTCCTCTTGCGCCGGACCTGGCGAACAGAATTGAAGATATAGTTCTCCCTCGGAGGAGGTAGTTAGTCGGATGAACACTATTGCTCAGAAACGAAAAAAGTTGAACTGATTAAGGAAGAAGTTTACCTTGATGTTTGGCCTCAAATGGTTGTGCCATCTTTCTCTGCACTGCTTTCCCACTCTTCCTGGCAGCAGTTGTGCTATGTAAGACCACTTCCTCAATCCAAATTGTTCCACTAATTTTACCAGCTTCCTGTTAAATTTTCCAAGAATGAGCTCATTGACAGATGAGAGAGAACAAGTCATGAATTACAGTAAACAATAGAGAACTTTTACTTTTAGGAGGAATAAGAAAAAAAGTATTGATAGAATTGAACTTTTACCTATCTTCCGCTATAGTCCACTGCCCTTTCACAACATTGACTTTCTTCAAAGAGGTCTTCTTTCTTGGCAGAAACCTGCCATTCATCTCATATGCCTTATATGATCCAAGGCCACCGTTCATGAGATTTGAAACCTCAGTTTTGGGAGTCAGAAGAGGCACTTGAGTTCCAACTCTATAACCGACCGATGAACCATGGTCGAACATGGGCTTCTTGTTTTCTCTTTCTGCAAAGAACTGGTGTCCAAGGTCGTTGAAGGTTGCAGATGTATAGTCCCCAATAACTTCAAACGGATGATGATCAACAGGATGGAGCTCATAGCGTCCATTTTGCTGCATATACGGATCAAATGGCAGGTAACTACAAATTCCAGTGTGGGGCTGAAAGCAACTGAAATGCATGAGGATCTCAGAAGCTATGTAAGATGCAGGGAGAGAGATTGAGTTGCGAGTTGGTTATCTAATTGCATCTCTCAAAAAGGAGAATAGTACAGGATGCCGTACTAGTATTATATAGAGTCCTAGACAAGGCTTGTTCCCTTCAACACAACTACTTAATGAAAACTTAATGTTTTATTACTTATTGCTAGTTAATAACCTTATTTATTATCACTAATTCTTAACGACTTCTTGTATTCCATGGAAAGAGGTAATAAAGTGCCCTTTAATCTCAAACTTGACATACACATCTTGGACCTTACTGCTGCAGATATTGCTAGTGTTACAGGATATATCCAATATAGAGTGCATGCCATCTAAATCTAATGACACAATTCTATTCAGATGCTACGGAGAGTGACTGTACAATATAACTGCAGGCTTTGGAGGCATGCACACAAGGATTTTTTTTGTAGAAGCTACAGTGACCAAGTAATATATGGAACCGATTGAGGTGGTAATCAAACCTGGAGCTGGAGACCAAGTGCTGAGTGCAGCCGACGACCGTGTAGGTAACGGGATTAGGATTCTCTTGCCTGGTTATGTGTTTACAGAAGGAAAAAAATACTTAGCCCATGAGCTCTAGAGTTAATCAGTCTCCACATGCACCAAGATCACCTTTCGAAAAAAAAAACATACACCAAACTGATCACACCAGAATCACATGAACGAGCAAACATGGGTTCAGTAGTTTCCGACGCCGTCGACTCTCTACCTGCAAGAGGACCGCTGCGGAGTGCGGCGAAACTCAGGCGCACGGGAGGAGAGGATCTATGTCGGTGTCGCCAGCACGTCGCCTTGCGATACGGCGGCAACATAGAGCTGCCTTGCCACCGGATCCTCCGGCGGCGGCCGAGACCCGAGAGGACCTGACCTCAGCTCGTCAAGACGGGAGGGGCTATCCGTTTCCATCGTGGGATGCCCGCGCCCCAGCGTGGCAGAGTGCCGGAGTTGAAGCGGGCCGACGGCGAAAGAAAACCCAGGTATACTATGGGCCTCAACCCTGCGTAGATCCAGGTCCAAATCTTTGGTCAGGAAATTTCTACGAGATTTTCCTCACTCGTCTTTAAAACTGGAAAAAAAATTTATCTCCATAGCTTTTAAAATTATTTATTTTTGCACTTAGACTTTTTGCCTGGCACTACGTGCTGCGAGGAGTAAATCAGACTTCATTAATACGGAGTAGTTCATGAAGATAAATCATAAACTAATTGTTCGAAAAAAAGAAAACCAATATTCTTCGCGCCGGGGTCACCTAAGCCTTTGCGATTGCTCGTTCGCATTACGCGGATAGCATCGACTTGGAGACTATGAGCCTCGGTTTCGCACTTGGCTACGAAGCCTCTGAGCTGGACGAGATAGAGAGGCGGTGGCTCCTCTTGCGCAGGACCCTGCAAAACAGAATTGAAGATATAGTTCTCCCCGGAGAGAGTAGTTAGTCGAATAGGTCGGATGAACACTATTGTAATCTGTGAACAAGCGCCGACCTTTATGTACCATAAAAACAATTTCGTAACTTCGTTTTGTTTGATTGAACTTGTTTTTTCTTTTCTTTTTGTATGAAAAAAAGAGACTCACGTATTTCGACCCTTCCGTTCGTTAAGACCGTAGGGCCCGGGGTGTAAGAGCAAAACTTTGATCATGCTGGTGAGCAAAGACACCGTAGCCGCCGAGGCGTAGGCTTTTTGCAGTCCGACCAGGGATGCTCAGGTGTTCGTTTCCACACATCTTGCTGCTAGGCTTAGCGTGAGTAAGAGGTCTAACGCGGCGACTATTTCAGAAAAGGTGTACTTATACCTTTATCGCCCCCGAGTGAGATCCGACCCATTGTTGTTGCTGGTGTCGGATGTCACTGAAAATCGAGGAGAGGATAACGAAACTTAGTAGGAGAAAGCATCTCTTGTATTCGCACGTACCCCCTCCCTAGGATCTTAGCTATCGTTCTACGACCGTGCGTTCGGTCTCCTCGCAAGTCCAGCCTTCCTCGAGCCCCCGCGCATAGCGGGGATTCGATCGAGGGTCGGCTCGTTTTTTGACTATCGCCCCATCCGCAGTTTCCGCAACCGGAGGGGTTGAGTTAACGTCACTTGCCTCGATGGCTCGAGTGACGTGCTCGGTGAGCTCGCTAACGGGCATGTTCGAACGGAATCTGTTCCGTCGCTTGTGACGGGGTCGACAAAGCCCTCGTGTGGCATTCCGTTGCTCCTTAACCCGCCTTCCAACAAATTCCCCCTCAATGGGGATTCTATGGGCTCGGCTAGAGGTTAGGATCGAATGAGAAGGTTGAGATGACCTTGTCCGCTTCTAGGCGGGACGGGCAAAGGCCGTGGGGCTCATCTGTGTTTTTCCCTTGGCTTTCGTTTGACGCGAGGCGGCCTTAGGTCCTTCGTGAGCCGGCCTTCGAACCTCAGTCTCTCGATCTAGGATCGGGCGGCTCACGTGGGGTTCGGTAGGGGTCGACCGTGTTTCATGCGTCACCCCGTCCTCGGTTTCCGCAACCGGAGGGGCTAAGCTAACGACACTTGCCTCGATGGCTCGAGTGTCGCGCTTGGTGAGCTCGCTAACGGGCATGTTCGAGTGGAATTTGTGTTCGTCATCCGCTGACGGGATCGACAGAGCCCTCATGTGGCATTCCACTACTTCTTAACCCACCTCTCGGCAGATGCTCGAGCCGTTCGATAGGCTCGGGTGGCCCGTTGGCCTCTCGATGGAGATTCTGTGGGCTTGGCTCGAGGTTAGAATTGAACGAGAAAGGTCGAGATATCCCTGTCCGCTTCCGAGCAGGGTCGGGCAAGGCCGATGGGGCTCATCTCGGTTTTTCTCCCCTGGCTCTGTTTGACACGAAGCGGCCTCGAGCCCTTCGTGGGTCAGCCTTCGAACCTCGGTCGGTCGCCACTCATATCGACTGGGACGACTACCGCTTCGTGACGCGACGCGAAGCGTTGTGATGCAGCAATTACATATGCAATGCTTGGATGTATGAGATGAATGTATGAATGATTGAATGAACGAATGTTTGAATGCAAATGGATGAATGAATGATCATATAAAGAAAAAGCAGGGGTCGGTAATATTACCTCGGTGGCACGAGTGACGGGTTCTGGGAGCTCTTACCGGATATGTCCGTGCGGGGTCCGGGTCCAACGTTCGTGACGGGGCCGGTGTAACCTGCACGAGCATCCCAGTCTTCCATACCTGTCTCTCGACAGCGGCCCGAGCCGTTCGATCGACTTGGGTGACCTGACAGCCTCTCCTCGATGGAGATTCCGTGGGTAGGTGTGGGGGTACGACCCCGGATACCCACGGCAGATCACATGGGCTGCGCCCCTAGGGGCTGCCCAGCCCACAAGACGAAGTTTGCGGGGCATGACTCTGCTCGGCGCCTCCCGCAAGACACCAGGAAGATATCCTAAAGATGCTACGAGATCTGTTAGGATACATATGATCCTAAGATTCCTGTAATCTGTTATTACTTTCTGGTTATCTCTTAGATCTAATCGATTTGTAACCCTGCCCCCCGGACTATATAAGGCGGGCATGGACCCTCTCCAAACTCACGCAATATCATACGATAGTCAATACAATCCAATAGAACACATGAGTAGGGTATTACGTCATACTGACGGCGTGAACCTCTCTAACTCGTGTGTCTCTGTTGCCTTCTTATTCTTGATTACGCGCCTCTCTACCAATCAATCTACAAGAACGTTGGCGCGCCAGGTAGGGGTGTGCGTGTTGTTTCCTTATCAAACAAGATGGCTTTTTCCGTAGGCTCTTCATCCCTCCCGCAACCCGGCCAGATCTTCACGGTCGGATCGATCTCGTGGATCATCAATGCTGACAGAGTCGGAGAGCTCCTCGAGCTGGTGCAAATCAATTCTACACCGATCACCCCTGCACCTGCGACTGTAGATCCGATCTCGAAACCACCTCCGAGGTCGCCTTCATCAGCAACTCGCCGCCCGCTTCCTCGTTACCAGAGGAGACAGATCAACAACGACGATCTGATCGCATCAGTCGATCAGGTTGGTCAGAAGCTCACCGATTGCCTCTCCATCACTGAATCGGCTCTAGATACTCTCGTTCAGTGCCGACCACCCTCCGATCCAGATCTATCGAAGGCGGCTTGGGAAAGTCCAGGGGTTACGACCCTACCCTTTGGGTTCACCAACATCGCCGCCACCTACCAAGTTGCCCTAAGGGGCAAATTCGTCGATCAGGTTGGAGATGTCCAACCTCTCGCCGACCAGCTCCCGCCGGCCGTCAACATGCTGCACGTCGGCCGACGTCCTGGAGCATCCCTCCAAACCATCCTAGAGGAGAGTCTGGACTCCGAGTCCCAGGGCTCTATGGAGACTGTCGCCGAAACCATCACCAAACTACTTTTCCCTTCTTTCCGGGGTGGTGCGATCTTCAACGTCAGCGTCGATAGCCCCCCTCGGAACGGCAAAACCGAGGAGGAACACGCCGCTCGTGAGAACCAGAATGTCAATCGCGCGTAGCGCCGAGCAAACGAGATTGCCCTTGCGAGGGCCGAGTAGCAGCTTGACTCGCATTGCAAAATGATTTGTCACCAAAGTCTAGAAGAATCTTATGATAGATGACTTAGATGACTTGAGTTGTCATCGGCTGCGTGCTCTTGGGAATATCGAAGCCAATAAACTGAGGCTTGCAAAATATTACAATAAAAAGATCAAGGGCAAGCAATTTTCTGAAGGAGACTTAGTCTGGAAAGTAAAATTGCCGATCGGGTCAAAGGACAGCGACTTCGGCAAATGGTCGCCTAATTGGGAAGGATCTTATTAGATTAAACGTTGTGCGCCTAGTAATGCTTATGTTCTGAAAACACTAGGAGAAGAAGAGTTTGGCAGAGCAATCAACGGAAAATATCTAAAGAACTATTATCCTAGTGTTTGGATTAATACTTGACAACCGATTAGTTCGATCATCGGTTCTAATAGCCGATACCAGAAGGGTGTCGCCTCTAGTTCAAAAAATAAACCCGAAGGAGAAAAACCGGTACAATATGCATCGCCTATAAGAGCAAAGCAAACACGGATAAATTGATGCATGGAACATGAAGTACGAAGCAAAAGAAAAAACACTTAAGAAGAATAATTTTTTTGCTAATGTCACCTATTACAAGCTACAAGCCAGAAAACACTATGTTTACTATATCATCGGCCTAGGAAGTAAGGGCTACAGAGTTGGTGGCGTCAAAGAAATCCTTGACCAGGCGCTCATGATCCCTAGGGTGTGCCGTGGTTGGAAAACCATGGGGAAGAAGCCGAAGCTCGTGGCTAGAATGGGCTTGCGCAGCAGCCAATGCCATGGCAGCACCATGAAGAGCGACCTCCCTGACATGGTTTAGGATGTCGTGCAAACAAACCACTGGAATGGCGCCTCTGGCATTGACGAATCCCATCGTGTACTCCGCAGCTGATCGGAGGCTTTTTAGCTGAGCCGATAAATCTAAAAGATTCAAGAGAGGGATGATCAAGATCTTGAAGACAAAATTAAGAAAAGACAGAAAGTTGTGGTAGGCATCTCACCCATGATTCTAGCCTCGACCTTGACCAACCTATCCTGCATCGGGTCGGCCTCGGAAGGCGATCGACATCAAAATATGGCAAGAGCCGATTCGGCGAGGGAGAGGTAATCGGCGAGATTTTGGCTAGCCCAATCGATGGAGGCAAGCAAATCGTCGTTGTCGATCCGCCTCCTCTAATAGCAGGGGAGTTGGCAGCGAGCTGTTGATGAGGATGACCCTAAAGGCTGAGCGGAGTCAGCCTTATGCTCCGGGACAGTGGGGGCATCCTGAGTTGCACCCTCCTGATGATGAAGGCACTGGCGTGATGATGTAGATCCATTGAGGGCCTCTTCAGTAGACCACTTGTTGTTCTCCATGATCT